ATATGCTCCGGGAATCTGCATAATAGCAGATGCTCAGATATGTAAAGCGCACCTTGTGTTCTCAGGGAGAGCGAGAGAGAGAGAGAGAGAAAAAAAAGAGGAAGGTTATTGTTCCAAACAGTTTTATCAGGAGCACGGGGCTGTGATCATTAAGACCACCGTCGTCAGGACCAATAGATGACTGCTTTGATTACAGACCTGTTTCCTCAGCGTCCAGAGCAGCAGATATAGGAGAGCACTGGTGCCTACTGTGCATCTCTGGTATGGCTGAGTAAAGCACTTGTTCATTTGCAGTGAAGGGTAACATGAAACAGGCCTCAGCTCTTCTGATGGACAGGGAGATTTCACCTTCGCCAGTGAATGATAATGCATTATTAAATTTGCCTCTCTGCTCACTAGATACACTTAGCTGACCACAGCATATTTATCTCCCCATCCGAGGCTCACGTCTTGGCAGGAGAAAGCATTCTGTCACTTTTGAGGCATTTCAAAGATTAAAAAGAACCTCTCTCTTTTCAACGTCCCTAAAAGCATCCCCCCTTTTCCTCAGTGAAATGTGATTAGCAGGAGATGGTGTCACGCAATGGAACATTCATGAGGGGGAGAACAAATATCCAAATGAACTCCCGTGTCCTCGAGGAATAGCCCCTCTCTGCACCATCAGCAATCTCGCTCACATGGGCTAGGGGGGGAAATTTGATTGATCCTCTATTGAATTATTTTTTTGCACTCTTTCATTTCAACAGGACGCACTGACAAGTTGTTTGATCATAAAGCATTATTGTCTGCCAAGTCACATTTCAGGGTTGTGATGGCTAATGATCTTGCCTCCTGACTTGGGGAAAAGTCAGGTAGTCAGCATGTGTTTGAAGCTCGCAACGCCAAGGACATCGCGAGGACTGAGCAAAACACTATGCATTAAAGTCAGAAAGATGAAGAGAGGTGCGCTTACACGGAACTATCGAACTTTTAATGATACTGTACAGAGATACCATCAATGTCAGTGAAATATTTACACCACGAAAAGAGCACAGGGCTGCAGCAGAAACTTTTGCCTGACCCAAAGTCCCCTGACTTCCTTTTTATCATTGCAAATGCTTATGCACAAAAAGAAAAGAACAAAGACATCAGAGGCTAGAAATCACTTTTTCTTTTGCCTGTTTCATCTTTTTTTTAAACTCTATCCCCTCTGTCTACATGAGACCAACAGCGTACACAGGCCCTTGCCCAAAGCCGCTGTATGGTAATTGAGTGTGACACTGGTACCTGCTCCACTTCATCGTTCAGACTGTAAACTGGGACTGCAGATGACGCACAGCGCAGCAGCCCTGCGAGCACATCAGCCGGACACCGAGGCAGCATCCTGACAAAGAAAAGGCGTGGCAAATCGGCTTTGTCCATTGTGGTCACGCTGGCTGCTCGGAGCATCAGCGATCGCTCAGACGATAGCAGGTATGAAAGGATGCAACTCTAGGTGACATAATACACCACAGGCTTCCATTTGTGCTGGGGAGGACATTATGAGTGCATCTCCTTATGTGTCAACAAGGATATATAATGTTTACCGGGGAAGTGCCAATATCATATTACCAGTGATTCACCCGCTTTTAAAATATGGTTTACAGAATCAGTTTACATACTGTAGTTGCCTCCGACTCTCCAGTCGGGCGTTGCAGCTCAGCGTAAAGGAGATGTGGCGTGTTTAACTGCAGTGGGAAGTGGTGAGATTTGTTCTTGGCAAAATGCTTTAACTGCCACATGGTATTTAAAGAAACTCGTACACTTCAACGTACATGCATATGGCTTGCGTTTCAAACACCTTTTCCCCAAGGAGGAAAAAAAAATGATGTCAAAGTGTTTGATGTCCAAAGTGAGTTTACAGCCAAAGGCTTCCGTACCTTTCAAATTTCCCCCTTGTTTGTCAGCTACCTGCTGTTTCACGAGACAGAGGCTTGTCGGAAGCTATCGCCACAGACTTTCTGTTTGAAGCAATTCAATTAGTCACATGTGAGATAACACTTAGCTTTCTACTAAGCTTTTTTTTCCCTCCTCCTCACACATCATCTAATCTCCCTTTTTTCTCAGGCAAAATTTGGACAAAAAATAATCAAGTTCAAACAACAGCCCGAAAAAAAAACCCAAAAGAAAAAACCTACCATCTGGTTGCTCTGCACTGGGTGACACAACTTTGGAAACGGCCTTTTTTAGACAACAACAAACAGCCTTTGTCCTTCATCACCAGAGATTACATGAAAAAGATGAGACGTGTTCATAGGATGTGAGTGATGTGACATTATAGTGGCTGTCTCGGAGGCGTCTGGCTATTTTAAATCGCCACCGTGTGAGCGGGGGCACTGCATCCTTCCTCTGCACCTAGCCTGCTCTCTCCTCTCTTGCATTGCGAGAGATTAATTTAATGCTCTGCCAAGATCATAAAGATCAAACAAGTGGAGAGATATCATTAAACCATTGGAATGTTATCTCATTTATCCAAACAAACTGATGCGATGAACAAGCCTAATTAAAAAACTCACCATAAACAAAGCTGCGGATGGTGAGGCCTCTCCCCTCTTTTAACAATGGAACACATTTATTTTATTAATCTAATGCATCATGTATCATATCATTACAGTTCAATATATCTATCATTAATTTTATTCCCTTCACTTAAAGCTTTTATTGGAATTACTTTGGTTATTAGTTGGTTCTAATGTATTGGTTACCTCTGAATCTGGCTGCTACAATCTCTCTTATCTCGCTGCATAAACCTGTGCATGTTATTCAAATTGCCTCATTTATTATGATAGCTTCCTCATGTAAATTGTGCTGACTGCTCGCCCTTGCACAGTCCTCATTAGACTAATGAAAACCTTCAAACGAAAAAACTAAACAACCTGCCAAATAAAGGTCTGGGGTTATTATGAAAATTACAACTGTGGGAGCCGGGAGAAGCTCTCTTCATTAATTCATGCTCAGCAAATTGGTAACTAATTTAGTTGCACTCCTCTGCATTAATGGGTTATTTTATAAAAATGTTTTCCACAGCCTGAGACCTCTGGTGCACACACTGGAGAGCTCGGAATCCTAATCAAGTCCGGTGACATATTAGGAATTGACAATCTGAAAGATAATACAGTGTGTGTTTGTGAGGAGACGTGTGCGGGTCAACTGTCTAGAATTGGTGTGGATTGCCTGGTCATTTGCTTTCTCCTCTAATATTGCGGAGGAATTACAGTCCATTTGTGTTGATTATGTGAGTTTAGAGGAGGCACTTCAGTTAAGATGTAAGATCTCCGCTGCCGAGGAAACATTCAGATGATTTAGTGTGTGGATACTTGGTTTAAATCTTCTTTCTCTCTGCTTGTGTTTGCCTCAATCCTCACCCCCCCCACATACAAACATACTTACACACCACGCACACACATGCACACGCACATGTGCACGTAGACAGACAGTTTGTGACCCATAAATTCAGCTCATGATCCTGCTAATTATTACTATTCACTGCTTCACACCCTGTGAGTGAAGGTCTAACACTGATCTCCACGTCAGCCGTGCCAACAGGGAACATACAGCCCAATGATTTCCATAGTGGTTTTAATATCATTATCAGCCTCACCCCACCCTGCATCACCCAGTACAGCGCAGCTCTGCTAAAACCAACAGAGAATACTAAATTCTATTATTTGCTTCATTTTGTATTTAATCCGCCACGCTTAGTAGATTTCTATCAGTTTCTTTCATTTTCCTTTTCTTTTTTTCTTCTTCGCCAAGCAAAACTATAATTAAATAAGCCCAGCAATTAATAATAAAAACATTAACTCGGGACGAGGAGAACATTGTGGTTCTAACCTCCGGATCAGAGTTGGTGGGGAGTTGCACATGTGAGCACCACATGTGACAGCTCATTCTTTACCACATGTATCTAAACATATAAGAATCTATTTGTTGTATATCGAGAACAGGTCAAATACGAAGTCCTAAATGCATTTATAAAAAAATGTATGTCAAAAAACTATTATATGAAACCTCTTTCTAGTTCTAATAGTCAGTGGTAACTCTGTAATTAATGACTGAACATAGAGACTGAACAGCAGCTCTTATACTTTCTCTTCGCCCCTGTTTGTTTTTCAATGTAAGAATATTTCAGGAGATCCACATCTGTTTACTGTGACTGCTGTGAACAGCAGGGCTCATGGGTGCATGAGAACATCACATCTGAGTGACAGTTTATTGAAAATGAGGAGAGTCTTGCAGGTAACATGGAGCCGTGTTCCAAACACTGCTCTTAATCTTTAGATTCTGCAGAGATGAAATGTGATCATAGCAGATTAAATGTAGAACATACATATGATGTAAATGTATCATGTCACAGTGGGTAGACACTGTAACCCATTGTCTCTGTGGAGTTCAAAGATGTGTGAGAAAAATCCTCCAAACATTTATACACATCTATAAGGTTATCGCTTCTTAACTGCATTTTGGATTTATGGGTCAGGATAAAGCAGACTGAAATAAAGAAGGTCCCACTCGCTATGTTTGGAAAAGCTCCTTAATTTAGGAGATATTGAATCCAGTCAAAAGGTGAGTTGTTCTAAACTGCATCATCAATATCTAAGAACTGAAATCAAATCTTTGATCTCTCTCTTTTTTCAGATTGGAGCCTTCTTCTGTATAAAGATGTGTTCAGTCTAAGTTGATTAAACTTTCATTCACTCAACACCAACAATGGACTCTTCCTTTACACTGAAACTAAATATCTCCTCCTGCCCGTCTTGATTTTGTAATATTAAGTCGATCCAGGTTTGACAAACCTTCTCTGCTCGACTTTAAACTATGAGACTTTATATTTGTTTTCTGAAGTTATTCCCAGAGTTACATCTGATATTATCAACTGTTAGAATATAGCCTGAATGCAGAATGCAGTCACTTGGATTTGACCAAATGAATTGTCTGTTACTTACATTCTGTATGTATTTCTAAATTTAAATTTAACTCACCTTTGTCAGCGTGCATCCTCTTTGCTTCGTGGCTCATGTCGTGGGCCAGGTCTCCCTCCTTAGGTCCAGGCGGGATGTTGGGGGACAGGCCGAGCAGGGCTTGGTTCATGGACAGGCCGTTGTGGTGTGCAGCTGGAATATGGATGATGAAACAGGATGAATAAATATTGAAGATTTCTCTGTCTTGGTAAATAAGACGATGTGTGCACGATATGTTTGGATTTTTGTCGGCGTGACTAACTGTAGTATGAAGACGTACGTATCCTATCTGAGGAGCTTTCTGTGTGGGCTGGGGAGCTGGACACACTGCTGCTGCGGTGGGACGATGGGTGACTGCCCGGCCTCCTGTTGTCTTCTAAGGAGGGAGCAGGGGAGGGACTGTCCGGCACACGTTCCTGCAGCCCCTGCATCCACAAAAAACACCCAAAACACCCAAAATAAATATGCAGGTATAGACTGAATCCGAAGCACGTAACTTCTAAACCATCTTTGTACCATTTCTGAATTCTGTTTTAAAATTTACCTTTATAACAGAGGTGACCATTCTGGAGGGCAGGCTCTGGCCCTGTGCTGCAGCCGCCATGTTTGCGATGGTGCTGAGGTGGTTCATCTGGCTCATCGCCATGGTGACAGAGGCTGGGGGCAGGCTGACTGGGATCAGGGGGTGTGGCATCATCATGAAGGGGAGTTCCAGGCCTGAGACACATGAAAAGGTTGTTGGTTACTCAATGATGCGTATCATGAGTGAGATATTCACAGGGGAAACTTCCACCGCTCTGTCTGAAAACTGTTAATCCAGTAATCGGACATTTCCTACCACTGAGATATCCATTTAAAATTGGCCTCCAATAACACTAAATCTTCACACCCGCGATCCATCAGGGAAAAAATTCAATGATTTAAATTAATTGCTTCTTGGGTATCCTTCCATGTTAACATAATACACATAAATGTTTTACAATTTATGTTAATAATAGATTCTACTGCAATAATAATAAAGAAAGAATGGGGATGATAACCACAGTATATCCACAGTCATTCAAAGACCAAAGTTTACACAGCAGTAAAGTTGCATCAATTATTCTATGATGAATAAAAAGGGCACATTATGGAAATTGTCTCAATATTTACATATAAAAAATATCACCGTAAAAACAAAGGCAATCTTGAAAGCCATTACCCAAATGACTAGTTAAATGTGCTAATGACAAACAAGTACCGTCAGACTACACTGTGGCAATGACTTTAGGCTAATTATAGCCGTCTATATTCCAGACCGGAGAGATAGAAGGCGAGAGCGAGACCAAAAAGAGTCACTTTCAGCTCGCTCACAATTACGGGATTTTCATTTTTCTCTCTTTTATATGCACACAAATTATTCCATTACAACATCAGAGATATTGTACAAATGTTTTAAATTATTCAATTGCTGTCTGGCAATGGGACGCCTAATTGGGAAAACTGAAGACATTAGCAGTCTGAAAATGTAAAGAATGTCTAATAAAGATACCATTGGGGGGTTTGCAGTTAGTCAAACTACGGCCCTGCACTGTGCTTCTGAATGGCTTAATGAAAACAAGCCAACTTTCAAAGGACACGGGCGCAGACAGAAGGTCAAAGCTAGGTGTCTGTACCCCCACCGCCGCCACAACGGAGGCAACCCTGCTCCCTCCACCCTCCGCTCTATGGGGACTTTGAACTGGCAGGATCAAAAGTGACTGGGAACAGTTTGGTCTCATTCCTCCACCGCTCAAACGCTTCCCTCAAATGCTTTAAAGAAAACCTCACAGACACTATTGGATCTGATTGAGCCTCTGTTGATTTTTTTTCTTCTCTTTCTTGGCAGCCCGATTCAAGGTAAAAAAGCTGCGTGAAAGAAAGAGGAGGAGGGGGTGGGAAAAAAAAGATGCTGCACTACAGAAAGCTGATCCACAAAACAACTCCACTCTTCTTTTCCGACAAAACATCTGTAGCCAAAGGGCAAGGAGATCTGCATGGCGAAGCCTCTAAAGAGAAGGACACTGGTTGAAAATGAAAGGACATGAGAAGTACTCCTCTCTGTCATTCCCCTCCTTCTAAAAGAGGCATTGATTTCCATAAGAAAGATGGCATGCAGTTTCTCAGTGGCGAGTATTCCCAAACAATATAAAGCAAGGGGAGATTAAAGAAAGGCGGAAGCCAAGAAGCACCTTGTATCAGCGCCTCTGCTGTAGCTCAGACTGAATCAATTACTACTCAGCAGGCTAAGCTCAATTAAAAAAACACCACAGAGGGCCTGATTGCGGGGGTATTTACTATAGGACAACATGAAGAGGTCTAGGCTACCTATCAGCCCTTCAAGGCCACTCAAGGGCCAGAGTGAAGAGACTTCCTCTCTCTTTGAGATGGCAACATTATGCCCATTCAATGAAATACAGCTCCTCACGTGAAATGCATCCACCAAACAAATAAAGTATGAAAAGAGTCAGTAAAAAAATCAACTCTGTGTAAATGACATTCCTCTACTTTTCGGTTTCTATTCTAGCTTGTACTCGTCGCTGCGTGGATTTCAGAGATGTGTCGCCACCTGAAAGGCGGCCCGGTGGGGGGAAAACACTGGACCTCTGTTCCCTCCAGTGGGTATTAGTCTCGCTTTCACTGCCTGTCCAGCCCCTTTCATGTCGCCCCATCCGAAAGCGCTGTTTCTCCCATAAAGGCCCATTCAGGCCGCTGTAGGGTAACGTGCCACAGACCGACGAGGGTCCAGCAAATCCCTTTATTTGTCGCTGAAAGAGCCCAGGTGAGAAGGATATTGGTTTATTCATCCAAGACAGGACAATCAAGTGTTTTAGTTTCATTCATATGCAAGTTCTTGCCGTTTGCTGGATTTGTTCTTGTTAAATGAAGGGATTAAGAATAACTGCAGTAAACATTCTTGAAAATTTTTAACTTGACAATAATAATCTATCAAGGAGGTCATGTTTTCACCCCTGTCTGTTAATTGATTGGTTGGTTGGTTGGTTAGTTGGTTAGTTGGCAGGATTACACAAAAACTACAGGATGGATTACCATGTAACTTGGTGGAAGGATGTGGTGTGGGTCAGAAACGAACCTGTTAGATTATGGTGCAGATACGGATCAGGGGGCAGATCCAGGAATCTTTTTGGATCTTGATGAAAGGAAGAAATCAAAATATTTAGGAGACATGCAGCGTAATGAAAATCTGGATCGAGTCAATTGAAATGTGATTTCATAAGCAAACTATTGGGCCATTATATTTTCTTTGTTTCTTTTCTAAAATCAGATTCAACAAACATCCGTCAAACTCATTAATCACTTGAATATTGTGCAGATATTCCAGTGGGCAAACCGTCAGAAACATATTTGTCAGTTTCTGTTTATCTCCGACACAGAAGTTCAGACCTGATGAGAGGTGAATTCCCACAAGCGCCCCCACCCCCCCTCCGCTCCTGAAGGGCATAAACAATACATTCAGAGTAATTTACCTGAAGTAAGCCTGAGGGACCTGCAAAGGTGAACTCCTATTTACCATCATTAAAACTACAAATCACTTAATACCAATATAAACAGCTCAGCTATTATGTTGTGCAGTGCTCGGGAGTTCATGCATGGATAAGCAAAGATCTGAATCACGGAGGATGAATTGAATGAATTAAAACAGCCCTTGGTAACAAGATGATTAAAAAGCTGTTACATCAGGACCAAACCGTGTCGGCTGACGATGGGTCCAACACTTAGAAGAATCACGGCGGAAAAAAAAAAAAAGATTGAGCGTTGAATGTTTTAAAATGATTAAAGAGAGGGCAGTCATTTATTCTGATGACAGAAATGATAACCTGCAGTGATTTGTGCTGCAGTTAATCTTCATCTAAACAAGATTTCAGCCTTTTGTGGCCATCTAACCCTACAGAGGAAAATAAGGGGAAAAAAAGGAAGAAAGCCATTGTCACTGGAAATGCTATGGAGGCAGCAGCCAGCCCCCTTACCCTTAACTCTGTTGTGGACAGATTTCCCCTGACAAAAATTAAACTAGCTCCTACTTGGCACTTTATTATCTCCTCAACTGAATGATTTATTGTTTGTGGAGCGAAAGAACCAAAGAGAGGAGGAAGATTACATTTCCAGCCAAAGCTCAGGCCTGATCTCGTTTTTTACTCCCTCTGTCCAGGAAAAAAGCTCCCGACAAACAATAATGTCAGCTGTAATTGATCGGAGGTCGCCGCCTGGGCCTGCAGTAAAAGTGCACTATTTAAGCGACAATCGGCCCCGCGCTCTTCAGATGCTGGCTAATGAAGCTGTCTGTCTGGGCTATTTACCTTCTCTTAAATGGAAAAGGAGAGATGTACTGTAAGAGACAGGCTGGAGAGGATCTGCCTCTCGCTTCCGTGAAATAGGACCTGCACATGCCTCAGGAATGTATAATTGGTTGGCGCAGGCAAAGCTGTGGATCCAGTGCTAATTAAATGACTTGTTTAAAGCCTATCTGTCTTTGTTTGGGAGGCTCTGGGCTTCAGAACAATGCATTGTAAATGCTGTTGTCAAACAAACATTCCTGGTTATCCTTTGATTTGAATTGAACAAGACAAAAGGCTGATTTGCTCAGTGCTAAGCCTTTTGGTTTTCATGGTGTTGAGATAATTTTTTCCTCTTCTGATCCGTCAAACTGAACAGGGCCATTCCAGTGGAGCAGCTAAAATGGACTGACTCACAGCACAATGCATACGCAGACGGCTGCTGCAAAACAATCTCAGCTTTCCTCCTAATTGCGCTTGTAAAATGCCCCCATGTCGTGTATGTATTTCTCCGACAAAGGTGAGGAGGCGGCGCGCGCACACATGGAGTCTTTGTTGTGGTCGTATCAAGGGTTTGCACACCGGTCCCAGAAGGAAATGAATGGCTCGTGAAAAAGTGTCTGTCATGCAGCAAGACATTTAGAGGTCTCTCCTCAGCACTAATCAGCTATTCATCTTTACCATAACTGTTAATCTCCAAAATCAGAAGCCCTGCCTGTGCGAGCTGGAGGGAGCCTTATAGCTGTTAGATCAAACACGAGACTCGGCCTCCATAAATATGGCTGTCTGGCATCGTGGTGCCACTTTATGCAACACAAGTGCAGGCTTACATATACACAAAAACACAACTGGTCTCACATTCATACACACACAAACAAGGGAGAAAAACACACACACACACAGATGGCAGGTTCAGTCAAGGCTGGCGAGTCCTGTTTCTCATTAAAATGGGGGGAGAGAGGAAGGTATTGAGCTTTGATGTAGCCACCCACAGCCCCTCAGTGTCATTGAATGAAACTTTGAAGCCTTTTGTGTTTACGCAGTTAATGTTGATAATAAAGCAAACATCTTGCCTTTGTTAAATACCTGCCGAGCGCTCACGTACGCTCACACACAGACACATAAAAAGAATACATCTCGCTGTAACAAGGCGAGGTAAACATGAAAACATATGGACGCACGCTCAGACGGTGATGCAGTATAGATAATTGTGCATAGGTACGTACTCACATGGAGCCGGCCAGACGTAGAAACACATGCAAACAATAAGCGTTACATTGCTACAACTGCAATGATTGGATACATTTCAAGCTCACGCACGTCAACAAACAAAATGTGTTTTGCGTGCCAGGATGTAGAGATACACTTTCCAGTGATTCAGGTGGGCAAAGATTTCCTGCCAAGATGCCTAATATAACGTAATGTAAGAGAAACCATGATAAGAAAACATTTCTGGTTTGATGAGGTAACATAATTGCTTTCCTACCCCAAACCACTGGAGTGTAACATGTGGCAGAAATTATCAAGCAGACAGACAGAGGTGTTTGTCCTTTAAGTGTGTAAAATCTAAGGCAGGCAACTTTTATAGGATAATTTAAATCCTCGGCTCTAATGGCACGCATTCCTTATGAAATTGAAAGATCAATCATCTCTGTGACAGATCTGTTGTAAAAAAAAAAAAAAAGAAGTTCTTTCTATCTCTGAGGAGAAAATGCTAAACACGTTTTTCTCCACCACCAGCCCCGCCCGCACTGGCCCCACTTTTAGCTGTCTATTTGTCTCTTTGCTGAAAATGTTAACGAACAGGGCAATAATCAAGCCATATGCTTGCATGTGGCAAATCTCATTACAGTAAATGACCTTTACCAACCAATGCCAACATCCTTGTGCTTGATAACAGTGAGCGTATAGAGTGGGGGAGAGACAATGGTGGGTTTTAGTTAATGCAATCATGCACATGGCTGGGGGTGGCCGGTGCAGCCAGGCCTTCAGGACACATTAACGAAACAGCCTTCGCTCCTGTAATTTGGGTCAGAACCAGCCTCACTTTACATTTGTCACACATCACTCTTGATAAATACACAACATCGGCACGAGGGAGCGGCAACATCCGATCTGCCGACAATAAGCTGTGGCGGAGAAAAGCGCCGCGAACAGAGGAGGGGAGCAAAAGGAGAGGAGAGATATTACTAGCAGCTGTTACTACTGCGGGTGCAATATATTCAAGCCCAATCAATAAAGCTCCTACAGACAGTGACACCCAAGCAGACAGAGGAATCATTTTCATCTGATACTTAGCAAAGGCTCCCCTTTTAAAAAGATTGCTTTCAGTCAATGACAACCAGTTGTCATTTGACTAAGGCTCCTGAAATGAAATATATTGACGAGCGTTATCAATCACGGCCCACTCAGTCGTCATATCACTTTGGTGGATGGTGACGGTGACGGGGGGGAGGGGGATCAGTTTGCATGTGGTCATCAGATCATCCGTTTTAATTACAAAATTAGCATCACTAGCTTCTGCGCCCTCACTTCCTCCGTTACAATCCCCTCTGTGAGAGGAAATCGGTAATGCAGTGTATGGTTCATGGTTGCAGTGATAATGAGTTCAAGGTGTGTGATGTATCTGACTGTAAAGTGAATTCTACATCACAGCGGTCCAGGAAGAGGTCGTTAGTTTGGATCTAATTACTACGGTGGCCCTGAGAGCTCATCGCACCACAACTCCAGAAAACACACAAAACATGGAGATATGGAGAAAACATCTTCATTAGTGGAAAAACAACACAACCAAATACTCACAATACAACTAAATACTCACAATACAGCCAAATACTCACAACACAACCAAATACTCACAA